CATAACTCCCACTTACCCTTCATTTGCCTATAATATATCAGAGCTAGAAGGGCCCTTAGGGATCCTTTAATTCAGTCCCCTCATTTTACAGATGGGGAAACTGAAGTCCAAAAACACTGACCCAGCTAGATTCCTATCCAGGGTCCCCTCCATTGTATCACTTCACCTTTTCTCTTCTCACCCTCCTTGGGGATTTCCTGCCCTTTAAGCCATTTGTGTCTTAAGACCAGTAACTGCCAAGGGAAGTGCAAGGGGTGGGGCAGGACTATGGCCAACTGTGGCAGACCCTGCCCAGAGCTGGCTCTGTTGGCCAAAGTTGGAGGAATTTTCCAGCACAGAAGGGAAAGCTAAGCTCCTAGTCCCCCCTACCCCCGTGCCATCTCTGATCTACATCTTCCTGACCGATTCCTTCCCTCCTCCCCCTCCCGCCAACCAAGACTTACCAGCCAATGGCTTCAGCGGTGGAAATCAGCCAGTGAAGAAGAGTTTCTTGGTATATCGTAATGACTGCAGCCTTCCCCGGAGCAGCTCCGACTCTGAGTCCAGCAGCAGTAGCAGCAGCAGCGCTGCCTCAGACCGAACCAGGTACCAGCCCTCCAGATCAAGGCCTGTCTCCAGGATGCCCTTCCATGTTTCCCTATGGGAAGTGGGGTGCCAGCCACCTCAGCCTAGGTTAAAATGGCTCAGACCCAAGGTTCTCTGCAAAATAAACAGCATATATAAGAATGTCACCATAATGGAATAGTGGGAACCATCCTGGGTTAAGCTGACAGAGCAGAGTGTAAGCTGATGCCTTGGGGCCTGGATTTGGCCTGCATACATACTTTGTTAGGCCAGCATGGTGTTTTAAAAAAAATGAATCCAGTACTCCCACATAAAATTCCTAGTGTCTATATTCTCTTTAAAAATCAGATCTGGCAAATCTAGCCAGTGCTGCCTTTAGACGGGGTGTACTCATCACCACCACTGCTAAATCCAGCCCATGTCCATCACATCACTGCCAACCCCCTGAGGGCATTTGGATTTGAAATTTTTCAAGTGGCCTCAGCTTTCAAAAATTCTTAGACCTTGGGGCCCAGTTTAAAGAGAGGACATCTACCATGCCATTACCCACTCTTCCCCTGCTTTAAGCTGAGTTCTTATTGTCTTGTCCATAGCACAACACCCTCAAAACAAGGCCGGGGCAAGCCCTCCTTCTCTCGGGGCACGTTCCCGGAAGATAGCAGTGAAGATACCTCAGGCACTGAGAACGAGGCCTACTCCGTGGGCACTGGCCGCGGCGTGGGCCACAGCAGTAAGTACCCTCACCCAAGGCCAGGGATGCCGGGGGCCCAGTGTCAGGGCCTTGCCAGCCCCCTGGCTGCTGATCCGCCCCCTCTCTCCCATTCCTGTGAAGTGGTAAGGAAGAGTCTGGGACGGGGAGCTGGCTGGCTGTCAGAGGATGAAGACTCGCCCCTGGATGCTCTGGACCTGGTGTGGGCCAAATGCCGAGGATATCCATCATACCCAGCTCTGGTAGGCTTCCCCTTTTCTTATCATACCCCTTGTCTCCCAACACCAGATGGCAGACACAGTTAGCAAATTTTACTTACTCTCGGCTGAGCTGCAGAGAACAAGGGTCTTTGGCAGATAGACACTTAAGAGGTTCCTGGTTAGTTGTTCCATGTCTCCCTTTTCCTTCCCTTTGTACCCTTGGGTCTGAAATAGTTCATCATGAGAAGAAGCCAAGGGTCAGCACTGCAGCCTTGTGGCATAATAACCTTTCTCTGTCCCCACTTCAGAGATACTCTCCCAGTTCTTAGGTAGAGTAAGCCGTGCAGAAGAAGGGGACTGAACCAAACAAAGGTCTTATTACACCCTCAGATAATTGATCCAAAGATGCCCCGGGAAGGTATGTTCCACCATGGGGTTCCCATCCCTGTGCCCCCACTGGAGGTGCTGAAACTTGGGGAGCAGATGACCCAGGAAGCCCGAGAGCATCTCTACCTCGTCCTCTTCTTTGACAACAAGCGAACCTGGTAAGGGAGGAGGGGAGCATTTGGTGTGATTCACAGCCACAGATGCAACTCTGGGTATAGGGGCTGGCTGCCAGGAAATTCCAGCAAGACAGACTGGGCTATCACAAATTAGAGGGGGAGGGACGTAGATCTTTGAGCAAAAGGGTTGTGTTGACCATAAGTCTGAGAGCCTGAGTGGGCAGCAGCTGACAAACAGCTATAGCTAGAAGCCAAAGGGCCATTAGTGACTATGACAAGTGTGCTCCCCACCCAGACTTAGGTGGCTTCTAGACTTAGTTTTCCCACCTCTGCCTTCATGGTGACAAAATGGGGATAAAACAAGCATAAACATTCACGCTCTGAATCTCTGTTTTGTCACATGTACGTAGTGTGCTTTTGTGCATTGTCTGCAGAGGATATTTAATGTCCGTCAAGTCTGCCAGGAGCCTCTGGGACGGGGTACCTATTTCAGGTTAGGTCATGGCTCTGCCTTTTTTGCACTCAGAAATACCCTGTGGTTACCCCGTAGTAGGTCTGTTGACTGGGCTCTTTTCATCACTAGACTATGAGCCATTCCTAGAGGGCAGGGACTGTTTCTCTTAGTCTCAGTAACCCCATTGCCCAACAGAGCCTGGCTCAGAGTGGGTGCTCAGGAGGTGTTTTTGAATGAGTGTGTGATGAAGGCTGATGCTTGTTGCTTTCCCAGAGATGACTTATGTGATCCTCACCTCGTCCTACAGGCAGTGGCTGCCGAGAACTAAGCTGGTTCCTCTGGGCGTGAACCAGGACCTCGACAAGGAAAAGATGCTGGAGGGCCGCAAATCCAACATCCGCAAGTCAGTGCAGATTGCCTACCACAGGGCTCTGCAGCACCGCAGCAAGGTGCAGGGCGAGCAGAGCAGTGAGACCAGTGATAGTGACTGATAATGCCCAGCACAGCCCAACCTACAGTGCCCTGCCACCTCTCTCCTCCCCCCTTTGCTCACTGTCCTGGAGTGGCACCGGCCTCTGCACTGACTCATTCCTGGTCTTGGGGCCAGTCTCAGGGGAAGCTGGGTGGGGGAGGTCCCTCCCGCCCTGAGTGCAGCTGGACTGTACAGAACACTCCAAGGGCCCATGGTGGCTCTGCGCAAGGAGAGGGGAGGTCCCACTGGCCAGAAAGCTCCAGAGACCTCACAGCATTGTAGTGCAGGGTGGTGGGCCAAGGTTAGGACACTGCATAAAACAGGCCATCCCACCACCTCTGCCTGCTTTGCTTGTTCCAGGAGAATCTGTAACTGCCTAGTGGCCTGAGGCCCCCTGCAGGTGGTGAGGTGAGCGGGCATCTGCCCAGCCTAGCAGTGGGATTGATGTCTGTCCAGCCCGGAAGAGGGGCACTAGGTGACCCCCTCCCCTGCTGTTGTAAATACTGTAATTAGCGGAGAATTTAAATTATTCTCATTTGTAACTGCGTTTCCGGGTCGCGCCAGAGTCATTTGGTACTAAAAAAGACTGGGGCCTGTCCCCACTTCCCTTTTCCCCATAGATTCCCCCACCTTTCAAACTGGTTTGTATTTATTTCAAAGGAAGAAAATATATTGATTCTTAGAAAATAAATGGTCTGTTTGGAATTCTTGGGTTCTTACCTCTTGCCAGGGCAAAGGGATAAAAAGGGAAGCTCAGTCCCCCAGGGATGGTAAATAATTGGGCTCAAGAGGTTGCTGGTTGCTGTGCCTGCTGCATTTGTAAGACAACAGCAAAGATGATATAACAGTTCCCATTTCCCAGGCACTTAACTGAGTTGCAGGCCTTGTTCTAAGCACTTTTAGATACACGATTTCATGTAATCCTTGCAATAACTCTGGGGAAAGTTAATAATAGAGTGGTTATCTCCACAAAGACACTGAGGTTAAGAAAAATTAAGTAACTTGCCTAAATTTCCACAACTAGGAAGTCGCAGAGCTAGGATTTGAACTCAGGTCTGTTTGTCTGCCAAGCTGGCTCTTTAACCAGCACGCAGAACTGCTGGAGGAAGAGTACTGCCCATCCCTTCATGAATTTCAGATGCTTCAAGTTCTCTGCCAGTAGGATAGTCCAAGTGTTTCAGAGTCTCTATAGCTGTGACCTTCACCTGTTTAACAGGGGCCAGAGCAGGCATGTAGAGGATTGCTTTTCACTCACTCCCAACCTTGGCACCCCCTTTACAGATTCAAACAGTTACTGAAGGAATACCTTCCAAGTGCTAGGCACCTGTGGGCTGGCACGCCTAGAGATGAGACAGCCACAGGACGTAGGTGCTCAAGGGCCTTGCAGCTGCTGAGGAGTGGAGCAGACAAAAACACCATTTGATGATAACCATGCTCCTGGTGCTCCGTACTAGGTACTGTGGGTGGGACACAAATCAGCTGCAAATCTTGCCCCTGAGGAATCTGCAGTCTACTCATTCAGACACAGTAACCCCAAATCACTGCGCTACAAGGTGAAAAGTGGCCCAGATAAAAGTTCCTGTCTCCTAGCTCCATGCTCATTGTGTTCCTCCACAAGGGAAGAAATTACTTAAAACATCTTTCCTCGGCCCAGGCAGCCAGCCCTGCAAACGGCGAGGCAGACAGGCCCCACTAGGCACGGGTGTGAGATGATGGGAGTGCTGTTGAAGGAATGCCCCGAGACTGAAGGGAGCAGCTGGGCAGCGCAGCTGCGGCCGGGGCGCGGCAGTCCGAGGAGCCCGGCCTCTGATGGAGGGAAGTCTTGAGGCCTGACTGCGAAGTCGAGGCTCGGTGAGGCCTTCTGGAGGGGAGCGGCCCAGCCGGCGGGTGCGAAGACAGGATCCGCAGGCGACAGACGCTGTGGAGACGCCTCACTGGGGCTCGCAGGGGCCCGAGCTGTGTTCGGGTCCGATTCTCGGTCAAGAGGGCGAATATCTGACTGGAGAAGCTCGGTGGAGAAAGTCTTTCTGAGGACGGTGAGGGACAGGATTTGGTTCTGCGGACAGGGAAGCCTGAGGAACCCCGAGGGTCTGAGGAGATCAGGCCGTGAGGATTGGGGCCCGAGGGCGCATTCTGCGGCCGGTCCGCGGGGCGTGGGGATTGGACACCCTGGCGTGCCGAGTGCAGACATCCCCAGAGAAAAGGCCGAGAGCGGGCAGCGAGCCCAGCGCGCGCCAACCGCTGCGGCGCCTCGGAGAGACCCGCCCACCTGCCACCACACCCTGTTCTCATTGGCGCCTCTCACTTCTTCGCGGATTGGCTACCTCCGGATCCAATAAGCCAGGCCTGAGTCCTACTTCCGGGGAGAGTGAGGTCGGAAGAGTGCATTTGCGCGCGCTTCCCAAAGTCGCGACAGCTCGGAGGACAGTGGTGCGTGCCGCGCGGGAGGCGGGGGCCGGGGAGGATACGTAAGGAGGAAGGACGGAGGATTGGGGGGGAGGGGCCCTTGCGGACCGTAAGGGGCGGGGCCTACGGGGAGTGGAAGAATTAAATGAAACTGGGCGGGCCTTAAGTAAACTAGGGGGCAAGGGCTTGGTGGGCGAGGCCTTAAGGGATGTGTAGTCTGTGTGGGCGTGGTCTTTTGGCTACGGGAGATCGGGTACCGAGTGGGCGGGGCCATTATGAGGCGGAGCCTGGCGTGGAATTCTTCGCTATGCAGCATGGGGCATCGTACTCTAGCTTCTTTCCCGGCCCTGTGGGCCTCCATCCCCTGTCCACGCTCGGAGCTGCGCCTGGACCTGGTTCTGGCTTCCGGACAGTCCTTCCGGTGAGTGACCCTGACTCCTGGACCCTCGACACTGCAGGTCTGGAGTGTAAAGGAATGTTGGGGGTGATGGAAGAAACCTCAGGGTACAAAAGAGGAAACTGAGGCACGGGTGGTGAGCCTGTTTACCCCCTTTATAAAGTGGAGGTAAAAAAGCAGTGCAGGGGCACTTGGGTGGCGCAGTCGGAAGCATCCGACTCTTGATCTCTGCTCAGGTCTTGATCTCAGGGTCATGAGTTCAAGCCCCGCGTTGGGCTCCACGCTGGACATGGAGCCAACTTAAAAAAAAAAAAAGCCAGTGTATTGTTGTGAGGATCAAATGACTTGGCATTTCCTAAGTCAGTTTTGTGTATGAAGCTGTTGTAGGATGGGAGGGCCCCAAAGGGTGCAAGAAGGAAAACTGAGTACCAGGGCTGCTGTGTGCCTGGGGACTCAGGTGGAGGGAACAAAACCCTGCGCACTGGACTGGAGTGCTGGCGAACCAGGTATGGACACTGACCCAGACTGAGGAGCAGCTCTACTGTACTGTGTACCGAGGCGACAAGGGATGGGTTGGCAGGCCTACATCAGAAGAGCTAAAGACTGTGCACCAGTACTTCCAGCTGGATGTCAGCCTGGCTCAACTATATCACCATTGGAGTTCTGTGGACCCGCACTTTCAAGAGGTGGCTCAGAAATTCCAAGGTGAGTTCAAGGATTGGGGCAGGGGTTGGAGTTCTTGTAATTTGGTTAAATTACAGTTTCACCATCTGTAAAATGGGGATTATATTACAGAATTTTACAAGGATTCGTAAATCAGAATTTTACAAGGATTAAAGGAGTTAATTTAACATGTAAAGCTTTGCTTAGAATAGTACCTGACACATAGTAATTATTTATTACTATTATTATTGTTCTGCTGATTACCACAGTGTAGTGACAAGGATATTGGACCAAATCCTGGCTGTGTGACCTAGGGCAGGTGACGTCATTCACTCTGTAAATATTTACATAGCATCTGCTATGTGACTGGGGATATAGCAGTGAACAAAACAGACACAAATCCCAATCCTCATAGTGTTTACATTGTGGCTTCTTTATCTGTGAAATGTAATGATAGCCCAGACCTCATGGATTCTACGAGGAATGAGAGTTCTGGTGTTGCTTTCTCTAACAACAGTGTCCGTCATTCCCCCTGGATGCTTCTAGGTCTTTGGTGCCTAGGATCTGAGGGTGAGAAGAGGCCACTCCTGACAGCAGGTCTGTATCCTATCCCCTACCTTTCCCTAGGTGTGCGACTCCTGCAACAGGACCCTATCGAGTGCCTTTTCTCCTTCATCTGTTCCTCCAACAACAACATTGCTCGCATAACTGGCATGGTAGAACGGCTCTGTCAGGCCTTCGGACCTCGGCTCATCCAGCTTGATGATGTCACCTACCATGGCTTCCCCAGCCTGCAGGCCCTGGCTGGTGAGTAGGTGGGTCCCTGCCCTCAGACCCTCCAATGGCTTTCAGGGTCTCGTCACTTCTGCCCTGGTCCCCATCTCCCATCTCAAAGCTTCTTGCCTTCCCAAACACTGCCCTCTTCCAGAACCACCTTGCCTGGTCTGATCAGCCCCACCAAATCCTCCCCGTCTGTCCCTAAAATGTCAGCACCTCACTAGTCTTTGCTTTATACCCCATGGGTTCAGTGCTTCATCAAAAAAACAAAACAAATACAAAAACAAAAAAACCCAACTATATATAGTATATGGTACTGTGGGGTTAAGAGCACTCATTCTGGAGACAGACTGCCTAGGTCTGAATTCTACCTTTGGCACTTGACATCTAGCTGGATGACCTTGAGCACATTATTTAGTCTCTCTGTGTCAGTTTTTTCATCTGGAACAAGATAATAATGGCACCTACCTATCAGAGTTGCCACAAGGGTGAAGTAAAGAAATGCACATACTGTGTATTTGACATACAGGAATTATGCAGAAAATTTAAGTTGCCATCTCTAAGGGAACCCAAAAATTTTGCATCCAAGAACATTAGTGTTCTTCATAGCAGCCCTGTAAGGCAAGTATTTTACAGAGGCAAATATATCAGTTGGCAGATGTGAGAATAAAGCGAAGAGAAGTGCTTAGGGACTGCATAGTAAGGAAACAGGCCAGCTAGAGAAAAGAATGTTTTTGGTACTTAGAAACCCCATCTTGGGGGGGTTGAGGAATAGAAACCCGGTCTTGTGTCTCAGCTCCCAGTTTAGTAGTCATAAGACCAAAAGAATTCATTTACCTCTCCAAGCTTCTCTTGTTTGTAGGATGGGAATAACAGTTTCTATTCAGAAGGGTTTGAGTGGTGAGTAAAGCATTCATGAGGCAGGGTGCTCTAAGGGTCTAAGAGCATGGGCTTTGGTTTCCCAGACCTGGGTGCAAGATCCCATCTACACCCTGTCCCTTCCTGAGCAAATTCTTACCCTAAATAATAGTGCTGTCATCAGGGTCCTTGAGAAAAGTGTAATAATGTGCCTAAAGCACTTTGCCCCCACACAATACCCAGCACTTGATAACAGAAGCTATTGTTGTTATTATGGTTATTATTTGAGATCATAGATGTGAATGCACTTTGGAAAGGTTAAAGAACTCAACTGGGGAGTTCCACCAGGGCAAGTCCTTCTTGTCCCTGCTCCAGTGCCCAAGACCGGGTAGTGGGGTGCTCAGAAAACATTTGTAGAGGGGCAGAACCCAGGCTTTAACCCTTGCCTTTGCACAAGTAAGTGTCCTGGCATCTCCCAAAGGGCAATGAGGTGGGAGAGAGGTGCCTAGGGAAAGCATTCCTGTGGGGCAGAGGGCTCACCCATTAGCTTGAAGACAGGAAGTATTTGAAGATGCCTGACCCCCACTCTCCCCAACTCCCAACAGGGCCAGAGGTAGAGGCTCAGCTCAGGAAGCTTGGCCTGGGGTACCGTGCACGCTACGTGAGTGCCAGTGCTCGAGCCATCCTAGAAGAACAGGGTGGGCTACCCTGGCTGCGGCAGCTGCACATGGCCCCCTATGAGGAGGCCCACAAGGCCCTCTGCACCTTGCCCGGGGTGGGCACCAAGGTGAGGTCCCATTGGGATAGGAGCTACCCTCACCACCCATGTGGAGAATAGCAGAGAAGGAGATAAGGCAGGCCTGAGAGCTGGATACATGCTTGGCTGCTGGAGGCAGGGCAGGAAGAGAAAGGATACAAGCAGATGTTTTATTAGAGAAAATGCAAAGCGCAGAAGGAATATAAAGGACTTTGTCCCTTGAGTGCATTTTTATTTTTATTTATTTTATTTTTTTTTAAAGATTTTATTTATTTGACAGAGACAGAGACAGCGAGAGCAGGAACACAAGCAGGGGGAGTGGGAGAGGGAGAAGCAGGCTTCCTGCTGAGCCGGGAGCCCGATGTGGGACTCGATCCCAGGACCCTGGGATCATGACCTGAGCCGAAGGCAGTCGTTTAACCAACTGAGCCACCCAGGCGCCCCATTGAGTGCATTTTTAAAAAGGCTATTTGTTCAGGTGCACATATACACTGCTATATGTGTACAAAAATTTCCAGAAGGAACCACAGGAAACTTAATAGTGGTTACCTTTGGGAAGACAAGTGGAAAGATGTTTTTCCTTTTCATGTTGTTCTTATCTTGAAATTATATGTACTTATAAAAGTTTTTGTTTAATATCAACAAGGTTTGCTAGCAGTAAAATGATTAGGAATTGGGCATTTATTGTTTTCTCCTTTATACTTCTCTCTAGATTAAAAATGGATTTTTGTTTAAAAACCTTTTTTAATGTGCTCTGAACTTCAGCCCAACGGAGAATCTTGGTTCTGCCTCTTCTAGCCATGTAACCTTGGCTAAGTCACTTCACCTTTCTGAACCTGTTTTCTTGTTTGCAGAAAGGATATAGTACTGCCTTCTTCCCAGGTTACGATGAGAACCTGGCCCACATGGGTGTTCACACAGTAGAAATCTCATCATAGCTATTTTTAAAGTTATTACAAGAGGGTGTATATTAATGGAGAATGTAAAATAATAGTAACCTCGGAGTGGTGAAGGAAACAGCCAGCTTTGGGACCAGAAGCAGGATGCTGGCTGGATCCTGCCATTCCTCCTCTGTGGCTCACTCTTTTTCTTTCAAAGGTGGCTGACTGCATCTGCTTGATGGCCCTAGACAAGCCCCAGGCCGTGCCCGTGGATGTCCACATGTGGCAGATTGCCCAGCGTGACTACAGCTGGCACCCCACCACATCCCAGGCCAAGGGTCCAAGCCCCCAGGCTAACAAGGAACTGGGTAAGGAGAGAGTGCAACACTGGAGCTGGTAGTGGGCTGAGGTGGTAGAAACTTTTCACACCTCTCCATAAAATCCCACTCCTGTGGATAGGGAGTAGGAGGGCTAATTAATTTCACCTTATCACTTCTGGTATAGGAAGCTTTTTCCGGAGCCTGTGGGGACCTTATGCTGGCTGGGCCCAAGCAGTAAGTGTACTGAAGCTTCTCTTCCTCCCCCTCCTCCTCCTCCCTCTCCTCCTCCTCCTCCCACCCAGACCCCTTAGGACTCCTCCCCCAGCCCTGACCCAGTTGACTCCTCCACCACCACCGCCATTCCAGGTGGTCCTCCAGGACTCTTCACCCACCCCAGCCCTGACTCTAGTGGGCGCTCCTTGCCCTGACCCTGCTCCCCATGAACTCTTGTAGCTCTCCACACTGCCACCAGCCCCACCAGCCCTGACTTCGTGTACCCTGATCCCCCAGAGTGTCCTCCCTTCTGCCCCCAGGTACTGTTCAGTGCTGACCTGCGCCAACCCCACCGGGCTCAGGAGCCACCAGCAAAGCGCAGGAGATCTACAGACCCAGAGGGCTAGGTGGGGGGCACTGGACAAAGGGGTTCCCCAAATACCTCTCCCCCCATCCAGTCTTGTGTTGGGAAGGGGGCTTCCTGCAACTACCTCAGGGACCAGGTGCACTCAAATTAAGTAGTTTGCACAGCAGTGTGGGGTGGGGATTCTCTGGAAAGACAGAGCTACCTAAGTTTTTATCTCTTCCCTTTATTACAAGAAAGAACAATAAAATAGAAACATTTGTATGGAAAATGCAGCAGAGGAGTGATAGGGAAAGGGGTGGGGAGGCGGCGGGGCAGGGTAACTCTCCAATTCAGGGAGGGAAGGGGAGCAGGGTGCCCCAACCCCTCCAACGTGAAGGGTTCGGACCCTGGATCCGGGGCCCTAGAGCTGTGGGGGCAGCGCAGGGGACAGTCCCGGACCCGGCTCCGCGCAGCCGTCTCGACAGCAGCAGCCAGCCGCTGGCCCTGCATGAGGAGAGAGAACAGAGTTGGCCGTAGGTGCAGAGCCTCTACACCAGCCTGGATGCCTCTTCATGGACCACTCATGCCCTTGCACAGAGCACTGGTCCTCACCCCCAACTGCTGGTGTCAGCAGCTCCCCGTGGCTCGCCGTCGGTCCCTGCCCCTCCTGGCTGGTGCCCAGCTGGAGCTTCCTCATGTGCCGCACCACGGCCGTGGCATTGAAAGCTTGCTGTGGGGAGAAGGGGGAGATCATGTGACAGGGTCCAGTGGTGGGATTCTTGCACTGGTTTTGTTACTTTTCCTTCAGGTGTTAATGGTTGATCCACTAAAGCCCCTGAAACCTCTACAAGTCTTTATTAAACGACACTCAGCCATGTTACATATTTGCACACACATACATGCATATATATAAAACGTGTGTATATGAACAAGTATATATTATAACCCTTTATAATTAATTCATGTTCACATCATCGCAAACACTTCATATAGCAGCATGTGTCAGGCACTGTTCTAAGCACTTTATTTAGCAATTCATTTAATCTTCACAAAGGTCTTTGAGGTGGGCTCTGTTAGTGTCACCATTGCCACCGGAGAAAACTGAGGCACAGGGAGTTTGAATAACTTGCCCACATGCCTGTGTGTATCATTCTTTATTTAACATATCCACCAAGGCGTCCGGCACATCCCTCAAGTTCACCAGGTCCAAAACCAGAATCCTACCCCCCCAAGTGTGTGCCCCTGGGATCCCCATCTCAGTGATAGTACCACCATTCACCATGTCCCCAACCAAAATCTTGGGCTAGCCTTTGACATCTCTCTCTGCCAACATCTCAAAATACATCACTTGTTGTCAGTTCTACCTCCTAAAGGACTTCTGAGCCATCCACTGTTCTCAGGTCCAAGCCCTTACCATCTCCTGCCCACATCTCTGCTATAGCCCCCCAGCCGTGACTCCATGCCTCTCTCTGCACCCTGAGAGCCCTTTCTGGAAGGCAGGTTACTGCTGAAAATCCTTCTGGGGCTCGCCAGTATCTTCAGGACTGAGTCCATTCTCCACTGTGGCACTCGAGGCCTCTACCTGCATTTCCAGTCTGGGCTCCTGCCCCGCAGCCCCTCCAGTCCGTCCGGGCTTACTGAACACGTGCACCTCCCTGAATGGCCACATTCTCCCTCTCTTGCCTCTGGCCCTCTGCATGCCAGTTCCCTTTGCCTCAGACATGATTCTGCTGTACCTGGCTAATTCCTACCTAGCTGTCGAGTCTGATAGGTCTGTCAGGCCATCAGCATCCTTCCAGGACCCCATAGATTGGAGTAGATGTCTCTTAAGAGTTATACTGTTCTCCCTCTAGACTTGGAGGTCAGGGACTCTCACTGGGATAGAGTAGGTGTCAGGGAGTGTTGAATGAATGAATGAGGTTCTTTAGTAAGCATCCCTGAGCAGTCACTGTGTGCTTGACTTGATGCTAGGTGCTGTGGGAGCTGAGGTCTGGAGTGGGGTGGGGAGGACGCCTGGGGAGGCTGGGACCCAGGATTAGGAACTCACCTTCCACTTGCTCTTGGCAAAATTCTTCTTGATCTGCTCGCTCACCGACTGGTGAATATTCTTATCTAGAGCCGTATCCCCTGCAATCCTAGGATGGGGGTGTGTGGAGGGTTGTCTGTGAAGGCAGAAGCAGGCTTGAGGGCCCCAGACCCCATCCCAGCTTGCAGCTTGTGGGAGCTCTCACCATGGGTGCTGCAAGGCCTGTTCACAGGTGAACCTCTTTTCAGGATCCTTCTCCATCAAGTGCTGGATGAAGTCTTTGGCTGAACCCCCAAGGCAAGAGCAAAGACAGAAACAGCATGGTGGTGCCTGTGGACACCCCCAAGACAAAACCCACCCCCTCAGGTCTGGCCTGGCATTTAAGCAAGACAAGAGGCCAGATCTGTCCATCCACCACCCGACCCCACTTGTACTCTTTCTCTAAGCCCCCCGCCCACCGCAGCCTTCCAGCTCTCTTTTTCCCTTATGAAAAACTTGTTCTTAAGATTCTACTCAGTGTATTCACACTGATGTGTAAGTGACTGATAATGGCTTCATAGGTTTGCCTCCTAATAGGCACAAAAGGACAGATGAAAACCTTTATGGTGGTGTTTTAGGCATTAGGAAGTCAAATGGATGAGGTATTTTCAAAAATACTATTTTTGAAGGCTGAATGAATGCATGCCTACAAGCTTCTCAGACCGGGGGCTAGGCAGAGGGAAGCACCTGGGGTGGGGTGTCTGGTCTTGAAGACAGCTCTTAGTTTGGGGCTGGGGAATCTGACCAAAGGCAGGCAGTGAAGAGACCCCAAAACAGATGTGAAAGGCACCAGAGGTAGGGCCCAGAGGAAGAAGGCAAAGCCTCAAATACCAGAGTCAGAGATGTCGTCCCAGTAAGGAGAGTCAAACTCGTACTCGGCCTTCAAAATCTGTTCAAAGAGTTTGGCATCATTCTCGTCATAGAAGGGGGGGTAACCGCAGAGCCTGGGCAGGGAGAAACTCATCCTCATATCCACTTTCAGTGCACCCATTGGCTCCAGGATGGGGCTTTGGGGCAGTCTCGGGTCAGGCAGCATCCACAGGAAGGAGTTCCCCCTTTTACAAAGAGGGGATATCTGCCCCTCTTTGTAAAAAAAATCTCCGTGTAGATTTTTTTCATTCCTGTCCAGCTACACCAGCCTTTCTGTTTCTTAATTTGCTACCATCTTCCCTCCCTCAGGGCCTTTGCACTTGCTGTTCCTTCTGCCTAAACCATTCTTCCCCCACACCTCGAATGTCTGGCTCCCTCACTTCATTCAGGAGGCTATTCAAATGTCACCTCCTAAGAAAGGACTTTCCTGACCTCCTTATCTAAAATGGCATCCATCCCCATCTCCCTACCCTGCTTGATTTTTCTTCATAGTATTTTAATACCTGACATTATTTTATAGATTTATTTACTTGTTTATTATCTATCTCCCCTACTAGAGTTTTTCCTCCCTGAGGGCAGGCACTTTGTTTTGTTCTCTGCTAAATCCCCAGTGCTTAGCATAGTGCCAGAAGCATAGTATGTACTGAATGAAGTGATCTTACTCATTAATTGGTAGATACAAACATAGGCGGCAGGAAAGAAGAAATAGCAGAGAGGAGGAAGAGAGTAAAGTAGGGGAGAGGAGAATGCTGGAGCCACATGCCCCAGTGGCCAAGCCCCCACTCACAGAATGTAGGCAATGACCCCAATGGACCAGCAATCCACTGCCTTGCTGTAGGGCTTCTGGGCCAGGACCTCAGGGGCTATGGAGGGAAAGGGACATGGTGGTGACAAATCTCTGCCCTGCAGCTCCCGATTCCTCCCCTACACATGGCCCCAGCCCAGGATGCTCCATACCCACGTATCCTGGGGTTCCACAGGCTGTGGAGAGCACACTGCCAGGGTCCTCCATCTTGGAGAGACCAAAGTCAGAGATCATGATCTTGGAGTCTTCATCCAGGCTGTAGTACAACAGATTCTCTGGCTTGGAAGGGGGAGGGAAAGGAAGAGGCAGAGATGGCCAGGCGCTGGCAGAACCATCTGCCTCCCCAAGCACCCCTCAAAAACTGAGAAAGCCACTGTGGCTTCACGGCTGACATCTTGGTTGAAGGCACATGAAACTCAAGGAAGTTCCCAAGGAGGTTAAAAGTACCAGAAAGGACAAGGGCCTCGGGAATGTGAGAAGGAATTTTCTATAGACTTCAGGTTTATATTGTGAGCCCTGAATAATTTTTGAGCACCTACTGTGTGCCAGCACTAGCTTGATTTCATTTCATCCTTACCACATCCCTGTCAGGCCACTCTGAATAATCCCCCTTTACAGATGGGAAAACTGATGCCTTGAGAAGCAAAGTGACTTGCCTGAGAACCTACAGTTAGGGAGTAGTAGGGACAGAATTCAAGCCCAGATCTGTTTCACCCCAGCGCTTTTCTAGACCGGAGGAGATGTACTACAAAATGTGAATCCATCATAGTCTCTGAGGTGTAGGATTTCAGGGGTTTCTGGCTTTCTTCTTTATGTTTTGCTGTCCCCTCCAAGTTTTCTACAAAGAGCAAGGGGGACTTTTATTATGAGAAAAAGACCTAGCCGTTATTTGGACAAAATACCAGCTCCATTCACCTTTGTATCCATTTAAGTGTCCAAACTGGAAGGGGAGGAGGCAGTTTAGGCTTTACAGGGTGCATTTTGCAGAAGGGAAGCCAAAGCTCAGGGAAGGGGTAAGAGTTGCCCCAGGTCATACAGTGAGGGGTTTGCGGAGGCCCCACCCGGCACCCCAGCTCACCACACACCCTCTCACCCCACCTTGAGGTCTCGGTGTACGATGCCCAGGTCGTGCAGGTACTTGACGGCATCTAGCACCTGGAAGATGAGGCGGCTGGCGTCCCGCTCCGTGTAGAAGCCTTTCTCCACAATGCGGTCAAACAGCTCCCCGCCGGACACCCTGCAGCCGGGGACAGGACAGTCTGGCCACAGAGGCTAGGGAGGGGCAGCAGGAAGAGATGTGAGCAAGGGGTGAGGCCACTCACAGCTGCATGATGAGGTAGAGGTGACCCCCACTCTCATAGATGTCATCCAGGGCTACAATGTTGGGGTGCTTGATCCTGAAAGGAGAAATGAGGTAGTTCAGAGCTGAGGACAGCTCAGCCACTTTGCTACCCTCACCTCGAAAGGCCACTACTGCAGACCTGGGCAGGACAAACCAGAGTTCTGTCCCAAAAGGAAAAGCTGATTTACCACAATTTATTATGATGTAACGGAAGGTAGGAGAGCACAGAGATAAACCACCACTGGGCCCTGGCGTCGGACCCATCGGACTGGGTCTCACCTGCCTCTAGTGCGTGCTGTTTGGGGGCAAGTCTTTTCACCTTGCAGCACTGATCAATACACGATTTTAAAATGTTTCTGTGTTTATAAGTCTGTCAGCCTCCGCCACCAGAACACCAGCTCCAGGAGACCAGGGGCTTTATCTTACCATTGTTCCTCCCACACCTGGGGTAGAGTAAGTGCTTACTTATTCATTGAATATTAAGCCTCAGTTTCCACATCTATAATATGAAGCCAATGACTTCCCTCAGTACTTCCCTCAAAGAGTTGGGGTGAGGATGACATAAGAAAATGCAGATAAGAATCTCGGCATAATGCCTGGTACACAGTGAATGCTCAATAAATGAACCAATGATGGTGACTGAGCTTGACAGAAGCCATGGCTCTGCCACAAAGTTGCTGTGTGACCTTGAGTGAATCCCTTACCCTCTCTGGGCCTCAGTCCCCTCCCGAACCCAGTAGTGGAAATTATCATTTCATCCCTGCCCAGGGTGGTTGGAAAGCTCAGGAGAGAGGATGGAAGTGAAGGTTCTCTATCAGCTTTCCAGTGAGGGCAGGAGGTTTCACATCAGTATGAGCTAATCATAGACTAGTTGGTTATTTAATCAGAGGGTCATGAGACAGGCATTTTTTAACTTCCTGAGTGGCTTGGCTTTAATACGTAGGGGGGAACTTGAGGTAGGTCTACGATCGCACCAGTTGAGATACATTGCTTCGAGCCACATTCAAGGATTGGCTTTTAGATCTGACTGAACAGATTAAACCACTGTAAATAAGCAGTGGCATTTCAGTCACATCTGTCATGTTAACTGCTGCACCAGACACATGAAATAAAGGAATCTCTAGGGACGCCCGGGTGGCTCAGTCGGTTGGGCGGCTGCCTTTGGCTCAGGTCATGATCCCTGTGCCCTGGGATGGAGTCCTGCATCAGGCTCCTTGCTCAGCAGGGAGCCTGTTTCTCCCTCTGCCTGCAGCTCCCTTGCTTGTGCTCTTGCTCACTCTCTCTCGCCCACGCTCTCTCTAACAAATAAATAAATAAAACTTAAAAAAAAAAAAGGAACCTCTAATGTTCTCCACAACCCTGCCAAGTGGAGATTATTACCCCATTTTATAAATGAGCAATTTGAGGCTCACAGGTTAAACGATTTGCCCAAAGCAGAGGTAGGAAGAGAATGGGAGGAGTCAAGGCAGGGTCAACCCCGGCAGAAACACTGTGGCCCACGCACTTGTGCAGGACAGCGATCTCATTCTCCATGCTGCCCTCCTTGCCCTCCAGAGCCTTCTTGGCGATGCATTTGATGGCCACCAGCTTGTGAGTTCTCTTATCTTCTGCCAGGATTACCTCTGAGAAGGCCCCCCTGCAGAGAGAGGGGATTCATGAGCTGGGGAACTGGAACCTTAGCTTCCCTTCAGCCCCTCCTCCATACCCCTAAGGGTTAGGTGACCACCTGTGAACTAAGGATGTGGGATGAGCCTCTCTCCATCACTCTTCCACGCCCTGGTCCGTGCGGTGGTCACATGACCCAGGTCTGGCCAATCAAGAGTAGCCTATCCTTGGCCACAGTAATTGGGTCCTGTGATGCAAGCCAGGTTACTGGCACTTTGAGAATGAGCTGCTCTTTCCTGCCAAGCTGGTAAGATGCGAGCCTGGAGCTAATGGTGGTTATCTTTGCCACCACTTGAGAAGAGCCTGCTTGAGAATGAAGGTAACACAAAGGAAATCAGAGCTAAGAAATTCCTGATGACAATTTCCTGGGGCTCCTGGGTGGCTCAGTCGTTAAGCGTCTGCCTTCAGCTCAGGTTATAATCTCGGAGTCCTGGGATTGAGCCCCATATCGGGCTCCCTGCTGGGCGGGAGGCCTGCTTCTCCCTCTCCCACTCCCCCCACTTGTGTTCCCTCTCTCGCTGTCTCTCTCTCTGTCAAATAAATAAAATCTTGGGGCGCCTGAGTGGCTCAGTTGGTTAAGCGACTGCCTTCGGCTCAGGTCATGATCCTGGAGTCCCGGGATCGAGTCCCGCATCGGGCTCCCTGCTCGGCAGGGAGCCTGCTTCTCCCTCTGACCCTCCCCCCTTTCATGTGCTCTCTCTCTCTCTCTCTCTCATTCTCTCTGTCTCAAATAAATAAATAAAATCTTAAAAATAAATAAATAAATAAATAAATAAATAAAATCTTAAAAAAAAAAAAAAGAAATTCCTGATGATAATTTCCTAATAACATCATGTGAGTCTCTGAATCCAGCCATGCCTGACGTTTATGCCCTCAAGCTTATTGATTTATGCATAACTGGTTCATTTTTTTCTGCTACAGTCAATTTGAGTCATGATTTATTAACACCTTTTATATCCTTGAAGAACCATCAGCATCACCTGGGAACTTTTTTTTTTTTAAAGATTTTATTTATTTATTCATGAGAGACAGAAAGAGAGAGGCAGAGGGAGAAGCAGGCTCCCAAGGAGCAGGGAGCCCGATGCGGGACTCGATCCCAGGACCCTGGGATCATGACCTGAGCTGAAGGCAGACGCTTAACCATCTGAGCCATCCAGGCGCCCACCTGGGAACTTTTTTATGAGTGCAGAATCTCAGGTCTCAATCCTAGACCCACTAAGTCAGAATCTGCATTTTAACAAGATCTTCAGGTAATCTGTACGCTCACTGAAATTTGAGAAGCAATATTTTACAACAAGCTCTTAGAAAAGAGCAAACTCATTTGCACTAGAGTTCACTGATAAGGAGGATTTACTGGAGTATTTTTCTAGTACTTTTTGCTTTCCCTGGGATAAGAGGAAGTCATATGTCAAAAGCATCTCTTGTGGTGAAATCTCAATCAGAATAACTAGTGACTGTGGGGGCGCCTGCATGGCTCAGTCAGTTGGGCATCTGCCTTTGGCTCAGGTCGTGATCTCGGGGTCCCAAGGTTGAGCCCCATGTCAGCCTCCCTGCTCCATGGGGAGCCTACTTCTCCCTCTGCCTCTCCCCTGGCTTGTGCTCTCTCTCTCAAATAAATAAATAAAATCTTGGGGAAAAAAAAACTAGTGACTGTGGTAGCCTCATTGCTGGTTTCCAGTCTTGTCCCTCTCCAATTTACCCTCCACGCTTTGGCCAGAGTGCCCATCCTGAATTACAAGCCTGCGAAAATGTCTTAAATGTCTTCCTATGGCTCATGAGACAAAGTCCAGCCTCCATAGCTTGGCTTTCAAGGCTTTACATGACCTGTTCTCTCTTCTCAGCCTCTTCTTCCACTCTTCCCCAGTCTCTGATTATAATAAGCTCTATCATTCTTTTCCTCTTTCCACACATAACCTGCTTCTCAGCCTTTGCTTATGCTCTTCCTTCTGCCTAGAATGCCCTTCTACCTCTCTGACAAGTGCATTTCTGCTTATCCTTCAGTCCCTAGCTAAATACCCACTTCTCCAGAAAGGTTTCCCCAGGCAGAAGCCACCATTCTGGGCTCTACAAAGTCCTCATTCCTGACTTTAACGGGAGCACATCATACACCCTGTTGTCATTTTCCCTGGGTGTGTTTCCCTCACATGTTTAGGATCGACTTGAGGGGCAGAGATCAGGTTTGAGTTATTTCTGGATTCCCACCACTGAGAAAAGAACCATGCCCAGCTTCAGTTCCTAACCTAGGCCAAAACCCCCAGCTCTTGGCCAAAAATTGGAAAAACTGGCTCCTTCCTTCTCCCCTACTTCGTTCTCTTCACAGGAACCCAGAGCTGCAGCCAAGAGCAGCGTCTGTTCTACCCACTGTCAGCCAGAGGTGAAAACATGGGCCAGACTGGGCCATGGCAAGGCTGCCACGGGGCCGGGACTATAGGAAACAGGAAGTGGTGATCAACTGACCAGAGGAAGTACCACCCTGGACTCAGTCTCCCAGCCAGCCAGGCCCAAGAGTGAAGACCTTCCCAACCCACCCCCTAGTTCAGAGACAGCCTCCCCCGCCAGCCCCGCTTGCCTGCCCTGAGACTCACGTTCCCAGAACATCACGGAAGTCGTAAATGTCCCTAATGTCCTCCACCTGCTTCCAGCTGGGGCCGTCCACTGCCCCCGGCATGGCCCACTGCCCCCTGGCCACAGCCAGGGCTCCTGAGAAGGGGAATGGAGGGAAAAGACTCAGTGGGGCCCAGCCTTCTATGTTGGAACTTCAGGAACTGAGGCCCCATTCAGTCATTCAGCCTGCATTTATTCATTCCTTGATTCATTCATTTGATAAAATTATTCAGCAAATTCATTCATTCACCAGTCATTTGTTCTTCCCACAAGTCCTCATGCCTAGAGGAAAATCCTTCAGGGTGGCAGCAAAAGTCTTTTTTCAACAAACTCATTCGTTCACTAATTTATTCAGCTTACCTCCCAGTTTCTCCCTCTCCAAATCCAAACACTCAGGTGGACACTGACCCCCAGGAGGACAGCAGAGAAGACCCCAGAGCAGCTTGTAGAAGCACAGGGTCCTGGAGGGTCCCCCATCCCCAGAACCAGCAATGTCTCAGCCCCACCCTGGGAATTGCTGGGGTGTCTCCTCTCCTTCCTCTTTCTTCTCCCACCCAGCCTCTCGGAAATCAAGTTTCCGGCAGCCTGGGCTTCCAGCAATATCTCAGCCATGTTTTTAAATAGCTCCTTTTGCACTGTTACCACGGCAACAACAGCCACAGCTGGAGCTCCCCAGGCCTCCTATTACCCCCTCTCCCTCCTGGCTCCCTGATTGGGTCCCAGAAGCCTGAGAAATGGGCTTCTTCTGACTCTGATCCAGCCTGTACCTTTCTCCATTGAGACCTCTGTCAGCTGGAGGGTGGGAGTTCTCTCCCCATTTATCAGATGGACAATGGGGAGACTGAGGTTGGCAATGGATAGGGACTGGGTCCATCTTTGCCCAAATGATGATTGGCTGGGGTCCAGCTAAGCTTGCTGAGGACAAAGGACTTTGATGGGGCCACTCTCAGCTTGTCTTTCCAATATGCAGCCAGATTGGGGCCCATTCAGAGCCCAGCATGCTGTGTGACCTCAAGGAAGGCACTTTCCCTTTCTGTTTCCTCTGTGGGAGAATGAGGGATGGTGTCCTGACTAGAGTCCCTGATGTGAGATCCCACTCCTTGGATGGGACCTGGTTCTCAGGAGGGGCCTGACCACCCATCCCAGGGGCAGAAACTTTTAGGAAAGGAGACATGATGGTAAGCTCTCAAGGCAGAGTTTTAAAACCCACCTGGAGGCTTGGCAAATGCAACCCTCACAGGTCCACAGACACACCCGAACACACCGAGCTCCACCCACACCTCTGAAGCAGAATACCTGCCCCCAAATTCAGTACATTCCATACCCAGATACCCCAACACCCGATCATACATGGAAACCCAGACATCAGCACACATGTCCACACACACACTCCCCCCACACATCCTCACACCCAAACAGCCCTCCCACGGATCCCTCTTACACCCCCCCAAAACACACATCTGCACACACACACACACACACACACACACATTCCTCCCCTATGTACGGGACATCCCAGATTCACTCATACCCTTCATCCTGTTTCTATACACCCTAGAAACTCCTGTGCTCCAAACCGCACCCCAACTCCTTACACACCTAACTTCAAACATCCTCAATACACAACCGTATAGCTTCAACTCTTACTACTCTTGAGCCAGATACCAGCATGCACAACACTTGGACACACATCTGCAACAAAAACACTGATTCCCAGACACCCCCACCCACAAATATACCCTTACACGCAACTCCATATCTGATCCACATGCCTGTGCTAAGACATTAGCACAACCCAACACAGCCCCCACACATCTATAGCTCCAAATGCCAAGTCCGTCCATATTCAGGCCCAGCCGAACACAGGCGCGCGCGCGCGCACACACACACACACACACCCTCCCCACCTTCCTCTAGTACCCACTCAGTTCCCCCACAGCCGCCCGGCACCTGCTGGGCCTCGGGCCGAGGTTGGAGAGAAAGGCCCTGCCCTGCCTCTCCCCGCCCATCCAGAGCCCAGCCCGTCCGGGCACCCACTCCCATCCTTGGGGGAGGGTATCCAGCGACTGGGGGCGTCTGGCCACCCCTCCTCCGCGCCCCGGAGCACAGGCGGGGCGGCCCCTGGGCTGTACCTGCGGCTGCCCCGCCGCGGGGCTGGCTGGGAGGCCCGAGGTGGCTGGCGCCGAGCTCTGGCTGCCGGTTGCCGTCCGCCGCCGCTCCGCTCCTGGCTCGCCCGCCCGCTCTCTCGCTGGCGCTCGGCTCGGGCTCTGCTGGCCCCCTCCGCCCGCCTGCGGCTCTGATGTCAGTGGAGGAGGAGCCTGCGGCGGGGGGACGAGGGACTGGGAGGCTCCGCTGCGCTCCCGGGCTGGGGAAGGGGCGCGGTGCTTGAGGAGGAATCCCCTAGTTCAGGTCAGATCCTCTTTTGGACTCTTCCCTCCCCTCCGCTCTCCTGGAGCCCCCATTTCCCAGAGGGGACAACTGAGGCCCTGAGAGCTGAAGGGTTCAAAATCAGCAGTTGGTCAGAGGAAAAATCGAATTCGAATCCAGGTCTGTGTGATGTCAGATACTGGCGGGTTCCACCCAGTCGTCTTGTGGAGTTTGAGACCAGTTCTGGGAGCTCCCTTGGGGATCTTGGGCTCTTTCTCCCCATTCCCGCTCACCCCCCCTTTCCCTCAGTGCCCCAAAGGGAATTAGGCCCTCAAAAGGGCTCAGGAGACTGATGGGGGCGGGGATGAAGGGGTAGAGAAAGGGCAAAGCAAGAGTAGACAGTGAAGAGAAAGGAGGCAGTTATAGGGAGGTGGCCCCAGTTGACAGGCAGGAAAACAGACCTGGTGTTCCTGTTCCAGTCCCCTGCACCTGCCCCTCAAAATAGGTGTGGTGCCCCCGAGGGACTGGGACAGGGAGGGGGAGGGTGGGGGAGGGAATTAAATCAGGATCCTGGAGGAAGCAAGCCAAAGAAGACCAAAGTGCCACGGGACTGGGCGGGTTCCAAAGGCTGATGGCTAGGGGCCAGGTTTGGGGTGAGGGGGGAGCACAAATTGCTCCTGGGGTGTGGGCAGGGGGCCAAGGGACCTGACTGAGGTCCTCTTGCGCAAGTCTTTCCTTGGGAAGAAATTTGGTGCAGGCGGAGAGAGGGAGGAATTCAAAGGAAGTGTGGGTGGGGCTGGATTGGGGCCAGTCAGAGAAGGCACATTGCTGTGACCCCCCCACTCCACCTCCATCACTTCCCACTGCCCAAATTTCTGCATTTTCCAGTGGGACGTGGGAAAAGGACAATGCTTACCCCAAATCAATTTCCACTGGCTTTTACCTCTCTTATCCTTGGGACTAGGTCAGGGGTCGATGTTATGCCCATTTTACAGAGAGAGGACGATGGCTGAGGTTCCTAGAAAGGCTTTAAAGACTGACTTGAGTCACACTTCACCTCTCTGAGACTCAGTTTTTTCATCTGGAATATGAGAATATGGACGACCAATTCAGAATTCTCCTGAGAATTCTGTGAGATAATGAATGTGAAGTGCCTGGAATATTGTAGGGGTTCAAATATGAGCGCTAGACTTAATGTAAACTGAGGCTCCGAGAAGGGACTTGATTTGTCCAGGGGCAAGGGACTAAGGGGCAATTTCCTTCCCCTGAATCTCAGTATCTCAGACTTCCTAGTCCATGGAAAATCACATTTCCTGCCTGGGGCTGAGCCCCTACTCTCCCCTATACCCACCCATTGAGCTAGAATTGTTTCACCACAAATTCCTGTTTATCTCATTGACAATATTCCTAAGATGATAAGGTAGTCTCTGCCTGAAGACTTGTACAACTTTCATACTCTGTTTTACATTTTGCCTGCTTTTGAGCATGTTTGAGGGCACTTACACTTTCTTTTTTTAACAAATACATTCTCTTTTATTTTTAAAATATTTCTACCAAACAAGTAATTACGTCAGATACTAAAAACACACAAAGACCATCCTTGTCACTGATCAGATTCTTTCACTTGCCAAATAACAGAATCCCAACCAAAGCCAGCTTCATCGAAGAGGAAACTGTGACTGCAAGACTGAAGGAAGAACACCATGGATCAGGGTCTTGGAGACTGGAACTGGAGACACAAGACTCACAGGATTTGCTTTCTTGCTTCTCTCCTGTCTCGATTTCTCTGCACATTAACTTCCCTTCCTCTGCAGAGTGATCTCTCTGCCTGGCAGAAAACATGGTGTGAGGCAGACCCAGCTTTCCAAATAAACCCAGCAAGAGAGCTATATACCCAGTTTCATATATCAGTCTCAGGGAAGGACTCTGATGAGTTCTGCTAGAGTAACATACCTACCGCTTGGCCCCAAACAAAGTATTGCCAAGGAAATAAGGTACTATATTGGGCAAATGTACTGTCACGGGCAGCCACACTATGGGATGAAGACGGGTATCTTGCCAAAAGGAAATAAGGGTGCTGAGCACACTTTGAATAACAAATCCATCCCAGCCCTGTTCCCATCAATCAGAAATAACCAGTATTAGTATTTTTGGTACATATTCCTCCAGACTCTTTGGGATGCATATACATATTTACATTTCCTACTACAGTCCCAACCCCCAATGAGCATATTTCAAGGTACTAAAACAAAAAGTCAAGGAAAGTCAAATATATGAAGGAAAAAAGGAAATAATCCTCTTCTCCCCTTTGTTATTAAAAAGGTGACAAAACAACTGGAGGGGCGAACGGTTTTCTAAGATTAGAGAAAATGGAAGAATTCTTTTTTTTTTTTTTAAAGATTTTTATTTATTTGAGGGGCGCCTGGTTGGCTCAGTTGTTAAGCATCTGCCTTTGGCTCAGGTCATGATCTCAGGGTCCTGGAATCGAGCCCCACATTGGGCTCCCTGCTCAGCGGGAAGTCTGCTTCTCCCTCTCCCACTCCCCCTGCTTGTGTTCCCTCTCTCGCTGTGTCTCTCTCTGTCAAATACATAAATAAAATCTTTAAAAAAAAAAGATTTTTATTTATTTGAGAGAGAGAGCAGGAGCAGGGGGAGGGGCAGAGGGAGAGGGAGAGAGACAAGCACACTCCCTGTTGAGTGGGGAGCCCGATGAGGGGGTGGGGGTGGGGGGGATGGGGGGCTCCATACCAGAACCCTGGGATCACAAACTGAGCTGAAGGCAGCCGCTTAACCTACTGAGCCACCCAAACATCCGAAAATGGAAGAATTCTTATGGAAATGATGGACAGGGTTATTTACAAAACAGAAAAACATTCTTTAACTTCTCTTGCTGGAAACAAACCAAAAAAACCTACCCTACTCCAAAATTATATCCAGCATTAAAGGGCAAACTTCAGACTGGGGAAATGTCTTACAGACAATGGGATAATATTTCTATTATGCGAAGAACACCTAACATTGATAACAAACAGACTAAGGACCCAATAATTGGTCAGCGGAGACAGATAGAACACGATAAACATGGGACATTTTCTATCTCACATAAGTAACCAAAGCAGTGCAAACTAAAAGGCCATTTATAGTCCTTCGATTTTGAAGTTTAAAAAACTGGTGACACCGAAGACTGTTGTCAGTGTGAACAACAGATACTTCTACATTTCTGGTGGAAAAAGGACTTGCTAAAATCTTTTGGAAAGCCACTTGGCAATATTCATCAAAGGCTTAAATAATGACCAGGCCTTTAAAAAAAAAGATTTTATTTATTTACTTAAGAAAGTGGGAGAGAGAGAGATCACTAGCAGGGGCGGAGGGTAGAGGGAGAAGCAGACTCCCCACTAAGCAGGGAGCCTGATGCTGGATTCGATCCCAGGACCCTGGGATCATGACCTGAGCTGAGCACAGATGCTTAAACAAATGTTCAGGCCTTTTGACCCAGGCATTCCTCTTCTGGGAATTAATTTCAGGGAAATAGTCCTAAATTAAGACAAAGCTATATACTCCAAGATATTTTTTTTTTTTAAGATTTTATTTATTTATTTGACAGAGAAAGACACAGCGAGAGAGGGAACACAAACGGGGAGTGGGAGAGGGAGAAGCAGACTCCCTGCCGAGCAGGGAGCCCGATGCGGGACTCGATCCCGGGACTCCAGGATCATGACCTGAGCCGAAGGCAGTCGCTTAACCAACTGAGCCACCCAGGCGCCCCGATATTTTTTTTTTTTAAGATTTTTTATTTATTTAACAGAGACACAGCGAGAGAGGGAACACAGGCAGAGGGAGTGGGAGAGGGAGAAGCAGGCTTCCCGCCGAGCAGGGAGCCCGATGCGGGGCTCGATCCCAGGACCCTGTGTTCATGACCCGAGCTGAAGGCAGACACCCAACGACAGAGCCACTCAGGCACCCCTAAGATTTTTTTTTTAAAGATTTTATTTATTTGTTTGACACAGAGAGAGAGACAGTGAGAGAGGGAACACAAGCAGGGGGAGTGGGAGAGGGAGAAGCAGGCCCGGTGCGGGGCTCGATCCCAGGACCCTGGGATCATGACCTGAGCTGAAGGCAGACGCCCAACCAACTGAGCCACCCAGGCACCCCTACTCCAAGATATTTGAAGAAATATTTTTCTAACAGCAATATTTAGAAGAAATCACAAAGAAGGGAGTGATTTAAAAACATAAGGTACGCCTATGAGATGTAATACTTCACAGTTCATAAACTAATGGTAATGCAACCTACTTAATAAAAGGATAGGGGTGCCTGGGTGGCTCAGTCGTTAAGCGTTAAGCGTCTGCCTTTGGCTCAGGTCATGGTCTCAGGGTCCTGGGATCGAGCCCCGCATCAGGCTCCCTGCTCAGCGGGAAGCCTGCTTCTCCCTCTCCCACTCCCCCTGCTTGTGTTCCCTCTCTCGCTGTGTCTCTCTCTGTCAAATAAATAAATAAAATCTTAAAAAAATAATATTAAAAAAAGGATAAAAATGCTTGTAACGTTAAGCAGATACGCAGTTTGGCAACTTCAGTTTAAAATGTGAACCATACATTATTCATAGCAAAGAGAGGAGAGGAACACCACAAATGATAATAATGGTCCAAAAATTATCCGCTTTTGTTTTCTTTCTTTTACTTCTCTCTATAGGTCCATATTCTCCAAACTTTGTTGAATATGTTCAAACTTTATGGTCAAAAAGTCACTTTAAAAAAATTATGCCAAGGGGCGCCTGGGTGGCTCAGTGCGTCTGCCTTTGGCTCAGGTCATGATCCCAGGGTCCTGGGATCGAGCCCCGCATCGGGCTCCCTGCTCAGCGGGAAGCCTGCTTCTCCCTCTCCCACTCCCCCTGCTTGTGTTCCCTCTCTTGCTGTGTCTCTCTCTGTCAAATAAATAAATAAAATCTTTAAAAAAAAAAATTATGCCAAAAGATGGTGGGTGTGTACCAACTTGGTGTTTAATTTTTTAAATTTTATTTAAAAAATAACAACAAAGAAATAGAATGGATTTAAATGTCATATCCATCAACTCTTTTCTCTCCTACTATTGAAACAGTGATGACTCATTAAAAGAAGTTTTGGGGTCAGACAGACCAGGGTTCAAACTCCATCTCTAACCCTTACCAGCTATGGGACCTTGAACAAATTATTTCAACTATTCTGAGCCTCAGTTTCTTCATCTATAACATGGCATAATCATACCGATAAGCATACCTACTTCGTAAGGTTATTTTGAGAATGGGACAGAAAGTGACTTTCAGCCATTGTCACTTGGATTTCCAGCATGTATCTGGTGCATAATAGATGCTCAGTAAGAAATGAGATAGAAGAGGGGCACCTGGGTGGCTCAGTCGTTAAGCGTCTGCCTTCGGCTCAGGTCATGATCCCAGGGTCCTGGGATCGAGCCCTGCAATGGGCTCCCTGCTCTGGGGGAAGCCTGCTTCTCCCTCTCCCGCTCCCCCTGCTTGTGTTCCCTCTCTTGCTGTCTCTCTCTCTCTGTCAAAATAAATAAATAAAATCTTAAAAAAAAAACCAAAACATTAAAACAAGGCTTTGGGAAGATGGATTGAATTTCTAAAATGGCAGAATGTCTATGGTGAACATCACTGTTATTTATTTTCCTGGAGTTTGCTATCCAGGTGGATGTGGTGGTTATTTAGTAATAGCTGGATCCTTGTCCTTCAACATAGGTTGGCTTATCAGGAAACAGGAAGGAGGGGTGACTGGGTGGCTCAGTCGGTTAAGTGTCTGCCTTCGGCTCAAGTCATGATCCCAGATCAAGCCCCGCATCGGGCTCCCTGCTCGGCGGGAGGCCTGCTTCTCCCTCTCCCAGTCCCCCTGCTTGTGTTCCCTCTCTCGCTGTGTCTCTCTGTGTCAAATAAATAAATAAAATCTTAAAAAAAAAAAAGAAATGAGATAGAAGGGAGGAGGTTTCTTCTCCTTTTATAGACATCGGCTGCCCCGGGACAGCTGCTTTTAATATTATTTTTCCTTCCATTCTTGAAGCCCCACATAGTCTAGTTAAGCTCCAAATGTGGGGTTTCCTTTCTGCCCTTACGGTGCCTACCCTACTTCTCATCCAATTAGGAGCAGCCCATCTCAGGAGGCTCAGAGGTCCCTCCAATATTTATCAGATCTCACTGATTTCTCCTGGCTAGCAGGCATATTCTGGGGCAATGACAATTGTGCTTTTCTCTGATAATCCATCCATAATTTTGTGTGTGGTGGTTCTGGCAGGCCAGAGAGGGACGCTTAGAATAGGGCCTCTAGAGTCTACAAAACTGGGTTACAAAACTGGTTCCCCACCAGCTATCTGATCCGGCTCTTCCCCTTTCTGTATCTTAGTTTCCTCATCTGTAAAACAGGGTAATGATCTTGCCTGCTCTGACACAGAGAATTCATGTAAAATGCTTCGTGCCACCCTAGCTTGGTCCCTTGCAGAAGCATCCTCCCAGAGTTGTCTTACAACAATGTGACCTGAGCTTTCATCAAAAGTTGTGACAAGGAATCACCATGTGAAACTCAATTTCCACTTGCTGTCAAATTTGTGGAGAACATTATCAATATATGACTCTAGTGGAGAAACTTCTCCAGCATGAGAAATTACTAGAATTTTTTGTCAGGAAAACTGGGAAATGCCCTTTCCTCTGATATCAAATGTTCTGAGACTGATTCATCTTATCTCCATTTTTGTCTTGGCTTCCAGGAAGCTTAGAGCTAAATCTCATGCTTAATGACAGCCTCTCCATTGAACCTGACTGGCTTAATTCTATATTTGTATTTCATGAAAACCATTGTACACATCCTCAGTTATAAGCTTTCTCAAATTCTTTTGGGGAAGGAAGGAAGGAAAGAAAGAAGGAGGCAGAGAAAAAGAAAGAAAGAAAGGAAGAAAAGAAAGAAAGAAAGAAAGAAAGAAAGAAAGAAAGAAAGAAAGAAAGAAAGAAAGAAAGGAAGAAAGAAAGAAAGGAGGAAGGAAGGAAAGAAGGAAGAAAGGGAGGAAAGAAGGAAGAAAGAGAAAAAGAGAGGGAGGGAGGAAAGAATGGAAGGAATCAGGTATACTTTGAAAAGAGTACTTGGTCCACTGTAGCAGCTAAAATATAGGTTTGGTTTCCTTAATAGACACTCAAAATAGTTGTGATTTAAATAAAATGGAAGTATATACCATTCTGACCATCATAAGTAGTCCGAGGCTGGCATGATGACTACCAGGTAGGAGGGATCTTGGCTTCTTCTTACCTTGTTGCTCACTGTTCCCACGGGGTTATCTCTGACC